CTGTAGAGGGCAGTGTCATTGGCCCTCATATGTGGGATCCGAACCGGGGCCCTCTGGCGTCCCAAGCCAGTTCTTAACCATCGCGCCACTCGGCCAGCCCCCAATAAAAAATCTTTAAATAACAAAAATCTACTTTTTCAGATAAAACTTGAAGTTGCAGCCTTTTAATACATACGAGTAGGAGATATGTGTCTGGTAACTTATATGCTTTTAATTAAGCTTACTTATATCATTTGCTTTGACTAAATTAGACTTTATTTTATTTGGGGTTTAAAGTCAATGTGATGTGTTTCCAGTTATAATTATATTCTATCAATTACCAGAGTTTTTTTCTAGTGTCTGTAGAAAAGGACAGATCATTAGCACTGGGGCCAGGAGGGAAGGCAGGTACTGCTGCATCTTCTGATTTAATGCCCTTCAAATGCAGTGGAACATACTCTATAACCTACATTTATATTTATAACTGATATTTTAGGATGGAATATATTTCGTAATTGATGATAGCTATGCTAGGTTGACAGATATTATGATATTTCCATCTTGCTATACCCTGGGCACCTCAGGTTATTGGCTGGCCTGCAAACATGATTTTCACCAAACTCTATAGTTTAAACACCTCCATTAAGTCCTTTTAATCCAGCACTTACACTCTATAAAACCCCCATGACATCATCAGTTCAACAGCTCAGAAAACTTGACACATTTATATAAATATGCACATGACACAGGTATTCCAATACAGGTACATATACATAAATGCCTTATCAAAAATATCTTTATATGAAAGATTTACTTGTAAATGGACAGGGATTATGAAGTACTGCTTCCATAAAATCTCTTGTTAGATCCATATGCCAGGAAATGGTTTTCTTATACATCAACAGAACAATACTGAATCACAGCTTCATAAATGCAAACTATATAAAAATGACAGTTGAAAGCCACATAGTTTCTCATATTACTACTGAAATACACAATGTAAATCCTCAAAGTTGTCCTAAATAACCATGTTTAATGTAATTCAAAGTTTCTCTAGGTTTAAGGAATATTCACATCTAGCTTTAATGAGAAACATGAATATTTTATTTTCTCACTGCAGTAAATAAATTCCCAACAGCCCTCTCAGAGTGCTTGTCTAACTCTCATACAAAAAAAAAACAACATAATTCGGGGTTGAACGAGGCTAAGGTTAGTAGAAGAACCAGGGTATTATTTAGAAAACCTGCCAACAGAAGTTTCCAAAAAAGACTATATGAAAGTGGCATATAATCAGTTAACCCATGGGTTTTTCTACAGTTTCTCCCTTCTAACTCCAGATGCCACAATATTGTCCAAACATGGGGCATGAACACAAACATGAACACAACATTTTCCAGAGTTTCTGATACCTAGATATCTGATAGGAGTTACTTTCAAATAAAAATAACCTTCTTAATTAATTTAGATAATTGGGACCCTGCTGGACTCATGAATTTTAGGGCCTGTGATGTACTAATTACACTCTTATAATACTACCTTCAATTCATATTTGGGAAGTAATCAAGAAATACGAGAATGCGTAAGGGGCTAGTACTGAAATCAACTCTGATTTCTAATAAAGTAAAGTCTTCAATAAAGAGGGATAAGAAGTCAATAAAACTAGCACTTTATTCATTATAATGTTCATCTTGGTCTCCATGCCAAGGACAGTGCTCTACTTAGTGAAACTGTGATATTACAAGGCCTCTTGTTAAGTCAAGCACCAAAGCCCCCCAATGAGAGTTCAGACTGGCTCGACCTTCCCACCTTATATAGTGGATTATGTTCTAGTGAGAAGGAATCAAGTTACCATCACCAGGACAGGCTGTGATTATCACATTAGTTCCTCTGTAAAACAGAGTCTGGTTAGCAACCAGGAATAACAATAATAAACGGATTATTTTGATAGTGTTAAGGGAAGAGATAGTAAGATATCTCTAAGAAGGTGTCTAAGACCAAATCCAGTGAGGGGTGGAGGAAATAAAGATAATGAAGAGGACCTAAGGAACTCATGACACTTACATTTCAAATGCCCAGCCAAGATTTAGCCATGTACAGGTAATTCCCCAAAGTCTTCAAAAACTAACAATTGAATTCACCATTCTTCATTTGACTCAGGGCCTCAGCAATCACTAAGTGCCCTTCAGTATGGGAAATTTAACCAATGACATTGCTTTATATTGGGATTATTGTAGAGATACAAAAAGAGGGAGATGAAATTCTCCTATGTATAAGGCTGCCCCAGAAATATATAAATAAACCCTGACACCCATTCACCTACACCAAATCGCCTCAGAGCTAGAAGGATGGGTACTCAATGAGATCAAACAACTATTGAATAATTCTTCTGACCTGCAAAATGAGAACGAAGTAGTCTACAGGTTTGTTTCGCTGGTAGAGGTAGTATTCTGGGGCTTTCTTGTTCTTCTCATCATACTTCAGTTCCTGGATGACATTGGGGTGCTTTAGCAGCCTTAGGAGGATCTTCTCTGACATCTGGGATGGGCTAAATGCTTCTACTTCTATAGATATAAACACAACTTGATATTACACTTCAAATGGATGGAAAAAAAATTATACTAGTGATTAAGGTGTTTAGATCATAAGAATACTTGGAATCAAAGTGATACAGTATGGATTAAGGAGACTTCCGTGTGATGGTCCACTGGGGGCAGATTACCTGGGAGAAATCAGAAAATGCTGAATTTTCGTATTTGTTTCTTTAAAAAATTTTCCTTTTCAACCTGTCATTGGTTTCAGTTCTCATAAAAATGCCCTAGTTTTCCTACTGATACAAATGAAAATCACCCAGAAGCACGCTCTTTGACTGCCAGGATGCCCTTCAACAGCCACAATAGTTTGACTGTTCAACAACAGCCAAAGGAAGAAGCAAAGGTCAGGAAGCATCTAGGCGTGAATTAGTACCAGGTGCACAACACAAGTGCCCCACATCTCATTCTCCCATTCAAATGCCCTGAGAAAGTCTGGGAACGAGGAACACAGAGAGATTCAGAATAAAAGCAAGGCACGTGCACACATCAACATGCACTCCAACTTGCTAATTTAAAAAAAAAAAAAAAGGTATGTTGACCTATATTTACAAAGACATCCATTTTATTTCAAATAAAAACCAAAATTACTGATTTAAGGGTGCTGTACTGACACTTTATGGTACCTCAGAGGCAGAGTAGGATAACATTTAGTTTTAAATTGTGGTTCTTCAATGACTGAGAACAATACTATCAGAATTAGAGCAAGAATAATAAGCAAGTTAAAGAGATTGTTTATAGGTTAAATTTGTTAAATTATGCTATATAAGACAATTATAAATTCTCTAAATTCTCCTGTGACTCTTTTTGTAATAACAAAATAAGAGTACATTGCAGAAATGTTGGGAAATATAGAAAAAAAAAATAGAGAACGATAAAAATTACCTATAAACCAACCATTCATAACCATTCTGAGCAATTGGTGAGCATTTCTTTCCAGTACCTTGCCAAGGCTTGTGTGCCGGTGTGTATGTGTGTGTACATACAAATACACAACTATAATCTTCCTGTACACAGTTTTATATCCTGCTTTTTCTCATTTTACATTAAATTATGTTATTTTCCCATGTCGTAAATATTATATTGTGAGCATTTCCATTATCTGAAAACATGATCTTAAAGAGTGCATAACATTCCATCGCGTAACTGCTGTTAACCTTCTTTTCAAAGTATTTTAAGTAATACTGCAAGCAATTGAAAGGCATTGGCTGCCCATCTTGGACAAGACGTCTTCTACAGGTCACTGGGTACTTTCAGGTTTTCTCACACTTCCCCTGGCCAACAGAGCTCACCCTTCACCTAGACAGCCACTGGGGATGTGAGAAGGGTTAGTCAGTCTCTTAAGTCCATTCAACCTTGACCTCTCTGGAGCAGTCAGTGCCGGCTGGGTTGGTGGTTTTAATAATATGCACACTTGCCTCCTGGAATGGGCGCAAGTTAACAATCTGATTTGAAGAGGCCATCAAAAAATCCATGTCAAAGTTCTTAGAATTTCTGATTTCAATAAAACCAGAAAGGATAAAGATTTAATTTTGAAAATCTATTTTTCTTCTTTGCAAATCATAGCACCTGTGTTATCACTGATATCCAACTGTTCTTCCAAGGCAAGCTGAAGAGAGAATTACTCAACTGTCCAACACACAACGAGGTGGGGTCTGGTTGGCACTGTCAGCCTACTCCACCAGCTGGCTCTCCCATGGACTTAGCTGGAAGCAGATGACCTGGCCTACTGTTTACATGCAGTGTGGCACTAACATTCATCCTTACCTTTCAGACCAATTTTAAGTTACTGGTCCACCCCTGGTAAATGTCTCAGAGAGTTCATGCCGACACTGAACATAGGAGAGGAGAGAATTTAAAAAGAAAAAAACAAAACAAAAACAAAACAAAAAAACAAAAAACAAAACACAAAAGTGGCATTACTTTTCACCCCATTTCCCAGTCTCCACCCCCAGCCCACCCCAGTCAGTGGTGGGTGAGAAACACGCTCCAGGGTTGGTAGAGATTTCAAACTGTGATAAGCTGCACTTGCCTGTTGCTAGGAAACGGTGCATGGCCAAGAGAAGCTGTGGTGATATTTTAACCTTCATCTCGCTATCTGTCTGCTTAAAGGCAGAAAAATCTTGCTTTCTTTCACGATGAGCCACTTTCTTTTTCGTTCTGTTATCCGCTGTGGGAAGAATAAGAAAAAAAATAAGGAAATGCATTTCATTAGATCAGGGCTCTTTTCGAATGAATATACTGGACTAAATATACTGGAAAGGTTAATCTCTCCAGATAGCGAGCACCCTACGTACAAACACCACATGGAAAGAGGAAGGAAGAGAGAATCCTCATCCAATCAGTGCCTCATGGTCATAGCACAACCAAATAACAGACAANACTCCAACTTGCTAATTTAAAAAAAAAAAAAAAGAATGGGTGCTTAATCTTGTCAGTTGCCTGTCTGGTGTCTATTGATATGAGCATAAAGATGTTTTTCTTTATTGCTTTCCTAATTAATGTGCCATATTTGTATTTTGTTGTCCATATATTATTAGCCCTGCATTCTTAAAATAAACCTAATTTAGTCAGTCAGTGAATAACTCCCTATGTGCTCTAACTGCTCCATGTTTATTTAGGAATTCTCCACCAATCTTGACAAGTGAGATCAGCCCATATTATCAGACTTTAGATTAAGTCCATATTAGTCTTAAAGAATACAGTTGACTATTAAAGCATCTTGTTCTATTTGTATATATAGAAATTGAGTTCTTTAAAGTTTCAATTTTTTCTTTCAAGTGATTCCTTTGATTCTAGCTGCTTTGCGGGGGGGTGGTGGAGAGAACTTTTTTTTCCTTCCTCTTTTATTACATTAATTATACCAATAGAAAATACTTTACTCTTCTAAAACAACCAAATCTTGATATTTTTATGGATTGCAAATCTTTTTCATTTAAAAATTTATTATTTAACTTGTTCTTTCTGGTTTGTTGCTTTGTTATTTTTCTACATAATTATAGGTATCTATTTTTAAAGATTTAAGTTCTTAGAGGAATACGGTTTCTTAAAACTGACATACTGTACATATGGTGTTTACATTATTTAATAGTTTTTTATGACATCCTATATATTTTGACATTCTATATATTTTCTCCCTAATTTAGTTGCTATTTAGGACTTTTAGTTTGCCACTAATGCTATTTTTAATGATTATTTATTTAAATGGGTAGTACACACATGGGAAGAAATTCAAATTCAAAGGGAGAAATAAGTCTTCCTTCCAACCTATTCCTAGTCCTCTAAGTCTCCGTCTTAGAGGCAACCAACTGGTACCAGTTTCTTGAGTAACCTTCCAGATATAGCTCGTGTGTGTGCGTGTTTGTGTAAAAGGAGAAATGCAGCTTTTTCTTCTACACAAATGAAACCTTTGTAAGAGAATTAATCACAATTTTGAAATGGCTTAGTATTTGTCAATTATGCATTTTTATGTCTAATTTTATTTCATTATGATCTAGGCAGGCAGTTATATGAAATTTCTATCTTTCTGAATTTACTAGAACTTACATGTGACATAGTAAATGATCAATTTTTATGAAAGTCACATAAAACTTTTCAATAAGTGTATTTCTCTGGCTTTATATTTAATCTTCTCCTATTTTCTGTTTATTTTAGTAGTTATGCAATTCAAAACTCTTAACATTTTTATCTGGTATGCTTGCTTTTTATGATGGTGGAAAAAATTTCGACCAAAATTATGTTCCTAACCATTTCTACTTTATATATATCTATATATCTATATCTATATCTATATTTTTAAAGTTATTTAAGGCATGTAAAGCCAATAAAGTTTTCTTTCACTATTGTATCAATGCCCTAATGGATCCCCCAATATATTTTAGTTTAAAAATCTACTTTTTGGGCCAGCCGAGTGGCGTGTTGGTTAAGAGTTGGCTCGGGACGTCAGCTCTGAGCAGCAGAGCCCCGGTTCAGATCCCACATGAGGACCAGTGATACTGCGCCCTCTACAGCTAGGATGGTGAACAACAGCTCGACCTGGAGCTGGGCTGCTGTGAGTCGCCGGCGACAGCGTAGGCTGCAGCAGGGCTGCAGTGGGCTACCGTGAGTGGCTGGCAGCCGCCATAAGCTGCCAAGAGCCACTGTGAGCTGCCAAGAGCCGCCGCCGTGAGCGGCCGTCCAGGGCCCAGCGACTGATCTGCCTCACCAAGAACACAATGAGAATACCAACATGGGCCAGTGAAGTGACGTCCTCCACAACTAGACTGAAGAACAAAAGGACAGCAACGTATCTGTTCCCCTTCCCTGATTCCCCAATGCTGTTCCCCTCTGCCAATTCCCCAATAAAAAATCTTTTTTTTTTTTTAAGATTTTTATTGGGGAATTGGGGGAAGGGGGACAGACAAATTGCTGTCCTTTTGTTCTTCAGTCTAGTTGTGGAGGACGTTGCTTCACTGGCCCAAGTTGGCACCATCATTGCGCTCTTCCTGGGTAAGGCAGATCAGTTTCTGGCTTCTGGACGGTCGCTCATGGTGGCTTGAGGGCCACTTACGCTGGCTGCTGGCTACACACGGTAGCCCATGGCAACCCACTGCAGCACGGGCTGCAGCGTGCGCCGTCACTGGCGACTCATGGCAACCCAGCTCCAGGTTGAGCTGTTGTTCAGCATTTTAGCTGTAGAGGGCAGTGTCACTGGCCCTCATATGTGGGATCCAAACCGGGGTCCTCTGGCATCCCAAGCCAGCTCTTAACCAATGCGCCACTCAGCAGGCCCTCTTTTTTATTCTTAAATGTTTGGTAGAATTCACCAGTGAGGCCATATTATTTCTGTGTTTGGGAGGTTTTTGTTTACAGATTCAATCTCCTTATTCATTATTAGTCTGGTCAGATTTTCTATTTCTCTCTGATTCAGTCTTGGTAGGTTTAAATTTCTGG